TTCAACAAACAGATTAAGTTCTAGCACACCACGATTGCTTCCTGATTTAATTTGATTGCAGCGTAATGGTATAGCAAATGCTAGGTAACATCCATAATACAGTAGCTAACACAACCATATTTCTTTTTGACCTGGCAGGTTTGTGGGTAGATCAAGAAAGATAACTGAGATCTAAATATCAGCATTCTACAATAACTAGCAAATTGTGCTTCTTGATCAATTAAAATGATGTGAGAGTTTGCCAGAACAAGCTCTGATCAAATCGCGCTTAGATGCTGTCTTTTCAAAGGTTGTGTTAACTACTGTGTTATGGATGTTACCTAGCATTTGCTATACCATTACGCTGCAATCAAATTAAATCAGGAAGCAATCATGGTGTACTAGAACTTAATGTGTTTGTTGAATCATTTTTGGATTCTATGTTCAAAGGCAAGGATCAGGAAATGGTTACATTGTACAATGCCAAAAATATCTATCTGCCATTCTCTTATAACCAAATTCCAATATATTGATGATTAGAAATATTACAGTTCCATATCAGATGCTACAACTGACTAGAAGTAGTTGAAACTAAATGAACAACTTGCAGACACCATTGTTGAAAACGGTCAACAGTTGATAAAAGCTTCTGGGGAGAAGTTGTGAAGAGACATTGTTGCCCTGCTGAAATTTAACTCCTTTGTAATATTGTTGCCTTGTCTTTCCAATGCTCCCCCCCCCCTTCTTTCTCTTCCTTCATTTTCCATTTCTCTTTTCTTCCCTTCCTTGTCCAGGTTCTTGTTCTGCTAATCCCATCTCTTTCTTATTTTTGCTTTTGTGCTTGTGTTGATGCTGTCCTTTTTGCTGGAAATTAGAAAGGAAATGTTTGGGAGTGTTTTTGTGTATACCTGGCCTTGTGTTTTTCTTCATGTTAAAAAGATGGAGAAACTGGGCATTGCACAGGATTTTTGACAACTTTGAAAGTAAATATTTCCTCCCTTTGGCTAAATATGGTATCTGTCTGCAGAAATAATTTTTAAATCTTAGTTATTGATTTAGAAATTAACCACTAGAGTGTGGAAGAATTCCCACGGTGACAAATTTTAATGTTAGCATAGCATTCTACTAAGAGTCAAGGAAATGCAAAACTCCATGTCTTCAGAAGTTTTTTTTTACAACTACATTTTAATTAGGTAATTTTTGTCCCAACTCTGAATAATTAACTAATTAACCGCCTCTTAACTAATTTTTCCAAGGTATTATTCCATACAGATTATTACTAATATGCTTCCACAACGATAGATGAAGGAATTAATCTCACAGGGTTGTAGATGTCCACAATATGAAGTCAACCAATAATAGAACTATAGAGAGGAAGAAAACTAAAGTCCTGATTCCATCTTCATGAGTGCAACTTTTAAATCTGTCATGTATACTAGAAGGCCTTTTCAATTACTCCTTGTGACAATTGAATGTAATGGTTCCCATCTGTTTATTTTTTTATTATTTCTTACTTTCCACCAGCTGCGGCTACTATATTTTGGTGAAACACAAACATTAAGGGTAAGCTAAGTCAAGATATGGAAAAATGGAGAGGGAACATGGAATATACTTATAATGGGAAATTATTGAGGTTATAAAGACAAAACTACAAATTTGGGGTGTATAAGGATAAATCTA